CCTGCGAAATGGTACAATCGGCACAAAAACGTAAGCTAATGGTGATAACTTTTTATGAGCTAAAAATTCATGAAATGAATTTTTTTATTTACTTATTAAATAAGTAGGAACAGGTTTGTGATGATGCCAAGGGTTGAACGTAAAGGGCATAAAAAGGAATTTCTGAAGAGTAAGTTTCTGTTACAAAAAAAAAGCCATACAATGCTTACTTGTATAAAAAAGTAGACTTGGATGATTTTTTCAGGCAACAACAGGTTTCGGTAATTTCGGTAATTCCTGACGACGATCGAAAGCTTCGTATCATTACACAATCTAAGCAATAGATATCATTATTACTATTTGCTTTGTGTATACAACGCATTCTAGACCACCCACATATTAACCTGCCATATAATCCTATTTTGCGAGCTCAAAATAGTTTCTTCTCTAATCAACCTAGGGATCTTAAAAGTTTACCTTGTTTTATTTATGTTAAGTGAAGGTGCCGATATGTTTTTGCCATTCCATATTGCTTTACTGATATGTCAGGTCCGTTCAATCGCGAGCCTTCCGTAGCCGCTTAGCCCTTCTTGTCCGATGCTTCTGAACGAGGGGCGACCTTTCAATGAACACTGATGACGGCACCGGCCACAGTAGCCCTGTATTACTTTGATTCCGAGTTCATGATGATAGAGAATTTTTTTTTGATTAATGGACAAAACACCGAAGACGAAAAGGCTCGAACGTCCGTGCACCCGCCGCTTGATCAACGGCAAATAATGAACAGGAGCGGCAGGTAGCATTGTTGGCCATGGGGTCGAATGAAGGAAGTCGACGATCGGCGACATCATCAAGAACGAGTGTAACGTCACCATATCGTTAGGAGAGATTGGACGCTGATGAATACGGGGTTTACGGTGCACTACCTTCTATCATTGAGCTGGCCGACAGAGGCTATCGTAGTGACTATGGGGGAACTTCAATGAGAATGCGATGACACACAATCCCAGGCACAGCAATTAGAAACATGGTACTGTTATTGGCATTAGAATATATGCGTACCACGGTGTTTTGCTAGCTTCTGTTTGAACTATTGCGTGGTGCGCCCTGGGTGCACCGAAAAGGGTGAATCGCAACGATCAACATAGTTGGTTATGGTCCTGCTGTTTGTACTTCAGAAAGGCTTTTGACTCCGCAGTGGGGTCCATTTAACTCAATAGAAGAGATAATATCAGCACTGTAATCGGTAGCAGAGTGCCATGCGTTACGCTGAGAATACGTTCCAAGAATGGGTCGTTTTCTCATATGGACAATGAATGAAGACATGAAAATAGTAGCTCAGGGATAATTTTGCAGAAGATCAAGCACGAATAGAATGAAGTCTCGAGAAGCCATAGCGCAGACGAATCTTTCCGCTGGTGGTCCAGTGACAAGAAAAATGTTTTCTTTCAGGCAATGACACGCAGTGTATACACAATTATAAACCATTATGTGATCGGTGAATACGTTACTAAATCATGCTAAGTGACTTCCAATGACACAGCTGTAATTGGTGTTTCCCAATGACAAGCAATGCACTCAAAGGAACTAGTTTGTCAGCTGTGAATATTTCAGGTAGCGGTGGCTCACCAGAGAAACAAAAAAGGATTGCATGATTTTACTATCATATCATCATCACGCTGTCTTCAATAGGTCGTTTAGGAATATCTCACCTATCCGACGGGGAGGTAGCGTGTTCGCCCATTGAACTCAAGGGCACATAGCAGAATAGGTTTGAGCCCGTACCCAACCATGCGAACACATTCGTTTATCAGACGTCTGAAAAAGATAGATAATTTCCTACACGACCAATAATACGACCACATCCATATGTGGAGTGCAACAGACAAAAAAAGGAGTCTGCTGGCCGATCATTGTTTTCCACTGCCACAAATTGTGTGAGTATTCAGTATCAGAGTCAAAGAGATTGTCACTGGCGTGAATGGCCGGAGAATCTCACGGTTGTCATCTTTCTGGGGGTAAGCGGGCACAGATCTTTAACGTCATCTGTTTGACGTGCGACCTCTTAACCTAGCTTCCTAATATTATAGTTTAGGTGAACCGTAAAATTGAGGTGAGGCCACCCTATTGGTGGTTAGCGCTAGAGAGACAGTAACAGACAAAAGGTAGATCGGAACAAACGCGTTATCCGTGAGATCAATAACTACGCATCTGCTGTGGGCGCTACGTAACAACTATAAGCGACGCCTATGTTCGTATTTCATGGGCGAAATGGTCAGATGCCGAAAGCAGAGGGCTTCAATGATATTGAATGAAGGCTCGAATTCAGAAGAATTTGCAATAATAGTATACGACCGAAACTATTCACGTGGTCAGTGCTAAACCGTAGAAGTTTATATTTACTCTCATGTTCTTATGTTGATTTGGAAAGTTCTACTTCCGACTGGAAAGAACCTTGCTATGAATAAAACAGAAATCTAGCCATTTTCAGCGATAGCCAATTTTTAAAAATTGTAGAAAACTGTGCTTTATGATAGAGTAAATTGCTTTCGAAGCAAAAAGTGTCAGACGGCTCGTCTTTGTGTGGTACATCTAGCATGTTGTTTGTTTACGTATATAATAGATACAACGGAATAAAGGCCTGAATTTTTAGACAGACGGAGGCACAAGCATCAAAAAAGCGACGCAACATTTACTCGATTGTTCAGTCTCCATAATAGTGCACTGATATAATTCAGCTGGTTGGTTTTGTGTAGTCCGAGCATGCTGTTTGGTCTAAATCTTGAGTTGATAGCAGGAGACGATTCCAATGGATTATCGCTGGCAGATTCCCAAATATTGCACCAAGCTCATTGCTGAATGTTACCAGGTTTTTTAGCAAGCCCAAACTCACATTTGTTTTAGATTACGTTGGGAAACCACGAAATGTGACCTTTGACGACTCTTTAGCTCTAAAATCCGTGTGATATTGCCTGACGAAAGGTTGTTGCGTGGCCACACTGTATTTTAATATAAATGTCAGTAAATAGTTCCTTGATCTTCATTTTTACCAGCCTGTGAAAGGGTCAAGCTAGTTTTGGTTCCGATAGATATAACTGATTGTTGCTAAATCTCGCATCGCAGCAAGCGTCTATACCTGTCCGAAGAAGCGTCGACAACCTCTCAGAGCCGGAGCATTGAGGCATTTAAGGCCAAGGACCAGACCACGAAAGTCTCTAGAAGCCTAGGGTCAGCATTTGGAGGCTAAGGACTAGAAACCTATTTCTGTGATTGCCATGGGCCGAGGTTTTACGCCTTCGACTACAAATAAATATCACTAAAAACGTATTGTTTTCTTCGATGATTGTTTTTTGACTTGCGCGCAGACATTCGGCTCTGCTATTTTCTTTGCCTATACTGAGGGTCGTGAAGTGCAACTTCACTTCGCCTCACATTGCCCGTACTTGGCTAGCAGCCTAAGACTGCATGTCAAAATTGGCTAATAAGAACTCCTATTAATCTGGGTCGATATCACCGTTAACAGTAAACACGGAGTCTTAATGCTTGGTATGGGCGTATGCTCTATCACAGGATTCAAGCCAGCAGGCTCCAAGTTCGCAGCGGGTCCTAGTTGTCCAGACTTCGAATTTTGATTTAAGCTCGGCCATCTGAGGGATAGATAACTCATATCTAGAAGTAAAAACAACTGAATAGACTTTTTAAAAAAAACTTTATTTACATGTACATTCGGTACGAGTATTGTTTATCACTCCCTGTCAATTTATATATAACTTCGTCTTCTTTTTTTTCGTTCTCGCCTTCCTTTTAAGAGGGTGAGATACTCCACTCCTTTGATACCGCCATGACTACTTCTACATTTATATATACAAGCAGTATGTACAACGGCTAATGACCACTGGACCAAAGCCACTCTTCCATAAGGATCTGCACGCTCTAATGATCTTTTGGGACGATCAGTTCGTGCTCCACCGTGGGTGAGCACCCATCGAGCTGACTGTAATATCGACCCAGTCCCAGACTGCTTTCCATCGATGCGTCACACGCACTGTGGGATTTCTGTTTGGTTGATTCGAGTTCTCTGGTTATCTTTTCGTGCTCACACCAGTCCCCCAAAAACCCCATAATTTCATTGCAAAGTCTGCATTCCTAGTGCCTCCACTGTACTGTCATAGAAAACAAATCTGAAGAGATGACAACTTCCGTGTTGAGGGAGACCGTATCTGAAGACCTATGGCAACTGTCACGTTCTCATATTCCGTCACATCCATTGTATGCGCATTATGATTACGGCCTATTTTGCGTGGGCGTTTTCGGCGTTAGCCACACTTTGTGGCTTCATAAATAGCGAAGTCAAGCTCGGCGAGGGCCAACGTCGAGTATTCAGATAGGCGCGCAAAAGAAAGAACGAAAGGGCCAAAGACGCGAGGAATAGCCCTGTTGCTTATTCGAGCCGCGAGTCCACCCGAGTGTAGCCTCTAGCAGGTGAGGTCGCTAGAGGTAAATCAAAGCGACTGACTACTTTGTTGTTTCGAAAACGTGCGCTTTGCCGCCGAAAGACGCAGAACCCACGGTCGAAAGACGTTCACGATCAATGAAGAGTCCGTGATTCGACTGTGCTCTCAAGCGTAAATACGGTACACTTCATACAGGGTTCAGGCAATTTGAGCGATTGAACTATTTTATGGATAATCGGCGCCCTTCTATAGCACATGCGCCATTGGGAGTAGTCAACCGGAGCAGGCAGCTTCGACTGAGGCACATACATTAATCGATATCATGTAGCCGAAGTGTGAGCACTGCTCCGAATTGAACACTATTCGCTGATGCTAATCGGGAAGATTTACTGATGCACGGGGTAAGGGGAGGGTCAGGACATTTGGGAGAAGCGTGCCGAACATGGCGGAGCGATTCAGACATGGTGAAAAAATGGAGCAAAGTTGTCAGCTCACCTTAATTTCGATGGCTACCTACCAGTGACTTATAGGTTTCTATTTACAGTTATCTGGTTAAGTTAATCATAATTAATAGCAGTCGTACCAAAGCTGCTGTTCGGGTGGAAATTGCTGATAGGAATTATTGGCTGTACTTATTGTCGTCGGCGTTTCGCATGATGTTTCGACGCTGTGTGAGCTCAGAGGCGAGTCTGTTCGAGAGTAACAGGCCATCGTCGAGCATGGGGGTTGGAGATCGATTGGCACTCCAAAATCAGCATCATGAAAGCTCGTTATAGATGCTATAGAAGAATTGCGCATCATATTTGGTGATGAGCTCGATGGAATTACGGGATTGGATTCTGCCAATGGGGACGATAACGCTTCTGGGGCCGGATTAACAACAGTGCTCACTTCTGACGAGTTGTGGTTCGCCGGGCAGGCGCTGCTTCCAAATATCGATTCGTCCATTGTAAGGAGCTGCTGCAACTGGCGTATATAGTCAACTGCACAACGCAGTGTTTCAACCTTGGACATTTTTTTATTGGCCTTTGCGAATGGAATTCGCTGGCGGAGCACAACGAAACCATTGTTGACTTGGCGTACGCGATTGCGTTCCCGTTCATTGCGACGCTCGACGGCGGCCTTGTAGCCTGGGGCGATGTTCGAACACCTGGGGAGATAACCAGATTGAGGGTTTTTTTTCATTAGAAGAAATGGTTGAATTTTATCAGATCATGTTTAGCTATTTTAAACATGCATGTTCGTTATTGGATGTGTATACGCTTTTCATTACTTTGAAACGAAAAAAAAATGTGAGGTACATCTATCTTATAAGCCTGAAGCTAGCTTTAATGCATGTCTGTGGAAGGCAGGGGCGTTTGACCCATTGTGTAATTTCGTTTAGTTCTCTGTTTCTCTGCTGACTCCTTTGATGGGTTTTGTCACCGTTTTTAACAGGAAACACCTCAATGTAATGACAATCATTGGAATAATTACCTCCTGAAGCTGAGCTTCGCGGTCTTCATGTCACTGCCGTTTAAAGCACGTAAACTCATTAGAGCGTTATCCATATCAGCCACAGAGAAGGTGCTGCCAGCGCTCCTACGCACGATGTGGTACTACTGAACTATCGTTATAATTAGCTTGATTCTACCCTTTTACTGCGTCACCACCGTCAGAACTTCTTGGCTTTTTTTGTTCTTTCCCTTGTACTTAAAGTTCTCTGTGCTGCGTTACACACGCGTGTACTCTATCTCGATCTTGACAAGTTCTTTACGCTCAATGAACTGCACGCGCTCAAGACTTCACGACCATGTTTTTTACACTGACGTCTGCGTCAGCACAAACGCATGCTTTTGTAGTCCCGCTTTAGTAGTCTAATAGAGCGCTGCTCCACCGTAACCGGTAAGCGCTTCATTCGAAGTTGTGGTGAGGAGGTTAGCTTTGGCCTTCTCTCCACACGTCGGCACATATCGGCTTCAACGCCAAAGGCCCGGCAACGTCGGGACGTCCCGCCTTCTAACGCATGACGGCGAAGTGCGTTTTGCGCTTCGGGCCGCGAGGTTCGGCCCCCTCCAGGCCAGCGCCTTACTTGGTTGGTTGATCCAGCGGCCAGCCAAGAACTTCATGAAAGAGCTGCAACACCGAAGTCAACTGGCAGATGCCGATGATGCGAACGTTCTATACTTACAAGATAGTTCTAAATACGAGCATTAGTGGCTAAAAGCGAAAAGCACAGACGGTAAATCGATGCTACTCCTTGGGGTCTTAGTTTTACACATATGATCTATGTCTCCGAAAGGGCAGGCATGCTTCTACGTTGAGCGTCGAGCGGAAACACCATCATCGGTTCCTGGGCAAAAGCTGACTATACACTACAGAGCTGAAGACCTAAGCGCACAGATCTATGCAACTACGCTAGCCGTTGCTACAACTACCAGGGTCGTCTCAACCTAAAATTGTGTAGTTAGCGTTGTTGGCGATGTTGTTGCCGCTCAGTCGTTTACGTCTTTCGCTGCCGTGGATTGAGTTTCTTTAAGGTAAGAGAGGCAGGTAGAACGTTTGTGCGCTGTGCTGCACGTAATGGGTCTGCGGCTAGTACAGTTTTAGGCTAGGACTAAATGGGGCGCGGTTAGGAGGCTAGGTTTATTTCGGTTTGGTTAGATTTTGTTCATGCTTAATGATCGAAGCCTGATGGATGGCTTTCGGATGCTCTGGTTGAATTACGTACGACTGAATGTACTAACTAAGCAATGAATAAACTAATAGACAAAGAGCTGACTCGCGCTTGCGTAACACGGTCGCCACCAGCGAAGTCCAAAATCCCGAGTTCCTCAAATGAAGTCGATCGAGTCGGTGTTTGTTTCATTTTCGTCCGACAGTCGAAAGTGCAGATGACGCTCACCATTGTTGGCGAAGTCATGATGACAACCTCGAACTGATGGAACGGGCGACGGGTCAAGGCGCGACTTCTACTATACACAACCATACACACAAAAATGGATCGACAAACTCACGCAAGTAGACACGGGAAGAAAGGCGACTTCAAACACAGGGTAGCTGTAGACCTGTAGAAGATGCAGAAACTCGCAGATATCGGCTAGTCACTACGCAAGTTGAAGATGTCCTGAGAAGATACGCAAATCAAAGACTGGTAGCTGAAGATACGTTCCTCTATGTTGAGCCTAATACTTCGAGAAGGCGGATAATGCGGTCTTTGTCACAACATGTGATTTTGAGGGCTGGACGCCTGCAACGACATAACGACTGTTGTTGATAATGTGACGTAGTGTGTCATTGAGTACTGCGGAAAATTCAAACATTAACGAAATAGTTCAGGTGGGGCAAGCGACGGAGACCGTTGTTGGGACGGTGAGAGGCCGGTGCACCCTGATCACTATAAATCATACGGACGTTCGTATACAGTCGAACTGAGGTTGTTAAAATTTTTAGAAATTCAAGTTTTGCGCAGGTAAAACGCGTTGCGAGGTTTGTCCTGTTGTTGTTTAACTTTTAAGGCTTAATGTACACTGTTTCATTTTACCAAACATGTATTTAAGTAATGAAGGGCTATTTAAGGTTTGTTACGCGGCTGAGGTTTGTTATGGTACAATACTAAACAGTACGTTATTTATTAGAGAAAGTAAAACATGTTGGGATGGTAATGTATTGCTTACGGCGCCCAGAATCACGGTCTCGAGCAGATGACGGTAACAGAAACAGTCTTTCGATTCAATCTCGAATATCATGCTTTGAAAATGACTCATTTTTGACCATTTTTCGATATTCGACTGATCGGAAGGTTTGTTCATACATAATTTTTTTACCGGTTCAAAATTGCGTCGTTGTAAATGCTACGCCCAGAAATCACCGATGTCTCAACAAAGGTTGACCTGTATCATAATCTACCAACCAGATAGCAGAATACGATTGTATTATATCGTAAAATAGAAGAAAATTGACCGTCGATCGGGTTCCTTAACTAACAATAGATAAACCTATCGAGCCAATTTTATGAAAAAACAAACAAACAATTTACAATAATTCACACCTGTTTTTTTGTCGATTCAGACTTACAGCTTTAGAAGTTATCCCTTACCCATAATTAGTAGAATCTTAGAGTCCGTTGAAACAACCCTAACTCGAAACAAATTTTCGGACTTTTTACACTAAAATGGAACAAAATTGTTAAAAAAAACCCGAGCTATCATTATAAGATCGAAATGTGGGTCTCACGTTATTTGATAAGCCTCCAGAAAATTGCTATAATTATGTATACGTATGTAGAAAAAACGATGTTCGAGCGAGATACCAGTGGTCTCTGTAACAACACAAAGCTTTTGGCCAACTTTATTTCAATGTTGATCGATTCCTGACAGTTTCTTAATAGATATAGGGGAAGCTTGGCAGTAACATTGTCAGTAATACAAATGAATCTGTACCGGAACTGACGTCGTCGTCTAGGTTCCAGCTCACGTCAGGTTCCAGTTGAGCCAGCTTGAACCTTGTATCACACTAAGTCTACTACGTATGACGAAATCCTCACGCTAAGCATTTGCGCTACACGCGCACAAATGCTACGACCGCCAGCAAAAGAACTGATCTCGGCAGCCGAGGCTGAGTTCGTTTCAAGTTTACCTTTGTTCAGTAGTAGTCTATGTGTAATGCACCCATGTCTCATAGTTGGGTTTTTGATAACTTCAAAGCACTGAGCGTTTCGACAACATGTCAGTAAGTCAGAGCATGCCCTATAGGTTACAACCTTCAGCTAGCGAAGCCATGAAGTCCTGGGAGTACATGTCGCAGTGCAGAGTACAGAATATGGGCCTTACAAGCGAGTTAATTACAATTGCCAGTGGTCGAAGAGCAAAATGTTCAACGATACAATCGTATCATAGATTGGTCTGTGCGTATAGGAACCCAATCGTTCTTTACATGAGACCGGAACTCATTTCATTCTCTAGCTGCTTCGGCCAAACACGGCATCTTTCAAGCGGTAAGTAATCTGTTTGGGTTAGATCGGAAACGAAGTTTACGCTGCCTAGGCCCAGTCTTTAGGTTTAGCGGCAGTTGTCGTGTGATCGCGAAGCATTCAAAAGTAGTAATAGTTGTCCCAACTCGTAATTGAGTCAGTCAAATAGTGAGCCGATACCAGGCCAATTCGTCAGCGATCGGAAGCTGCGTCTTACGGTTTCACTTACGACGCCCGTAGTATATGTGTCTGCTTACATACGACTCGAGTATCGGTAGTGTAGTACATACGGAGTCAGATCTGATCTGCGCAAATATCAGTCTTTAATCAGAATATCTGATTCCACCGTCAAGCAGTCCCTGGCCGAGCTCATATATTATATGAAAGACATCGAACCAAAGTGTGGAAACTTTCAAGGGTTTACTTTCTTGTCGCGAACAACCGATCTTTTAAAGCAGCTAGAATTGTCTCAGCCAGAATCTATCTTATTTGATATTTGTAATAACCACAGGAAACTTCGTAAAAAATCAGCGATATGTTAAAACAACGTGCCGTGTTATCACAAATGAAAACGAAGGCTCCAAGAGTACATGTTCGTTGCTCAAATCCCTCGGCTTTTATGTACGGTGCGCTCATCTTAACTAAATATTGCTTTACATGGCTGATTGTTTCTATTAGCACAAAACGTGTTTATGCCCGGTTTCGAACCCACACTCCCTCCGTGTTTTACTGTCAATGCCGTACACTTCAACACTCAAACATCATCGTGAGGTATGATCGGCCGCTCAATCTATAAAAAGGGTCGTACATAGTTGCGGCTCCTGGAACAGTGCGAAAGAACACTCGATACCAACATATAGATCCGGTGCGCCTGCATAACAGCATATTCGATGTTTGTGTAGATATCTGCCACTCATAATTCAGGTATTCATAGGCGTGTCAATTCGATCCACGTCTCACGGTCGCTCAGACGAAGTGTTTGAAACGGCAGCCACTCGACTCAGTGGTGATTCTCAGTGATGATAATTTACGAGCAGGCGCGTAATAGGAAAAAACAGAAGCGGGAATCGAAGGCTTGAACGGAAAAGGATTTCCCTCCCGCTAACAGCGAGCGTAGCCACCGCTGTCCTTTGTAGGCCCGTTCCGCGCATTGGCCTGATCACAACGAAGAATATGCTGAAGAAAGGTGAAAGTATGTCTCGTCCTATTATCGCCTTGTCAACTCGGACAGCGGATGACAGCGGATTCCGGGTCATCGTACTGGCCTTCTTGTAGCCGTGGTCCACGTCAGAGTATTTCGTTCAAATGCTTCCCCAAGGGATTGATCAGTGTTTCAGGACCGAAACGGCGCGTACATGTTTTCTCATTGATATTTGGAAGGTATGCAGTAACGTTGAACCTCGGGCACTCCGATACGGAAGAAGCGTTTTTATAAACGAGCTTTTGGCGATGCCAGATGTGCTCACAGTTCAATGTATCCTTCACGCCCGGCTCCGGTTTGTGTGGCGCGGGCTGGTTGACCGTCGTTCTAAGTGTTTACCCAGACCTTGTAGTATGTAACGAAGAAGATGTTTGATAGCCAACTCGTGCATACTTCTACTGAATTGAAATATGAGTGAGGTGGTCCAGGTTTGAACCCAAGCATAGACGCACTTTTTGTGATGGGAGGGAGTCCTGAACGTTTGAAACAGAAATGCTGAATTAAGCCAGTAGAATCGAACGTAACACCCGCAAAGTTCTCTCGCTGAGTATATTGAGGTTTTGCTCGGTATTGACACTTCACTCGT